CAGGTGGGCGGCTGGTGTGCAGCCCAGTGCACCACAGCCCGCCCAGGCAGGGGTGCTCCCGGGTAGGTCAAAATCCGACTTTGCACGCCGATGCACCACGCCACAGGGCGATGCACGCTATAAATCGGGTACCATAAGAATCAGCACTCTCTCAACTTTCGAATGGTGCTCATAACAAGTCCGTAGCACCTCTGTGGCGTGAGATCTCAGGGCGGGTGTCGGAGGCGGAAATCTGAAGAGTACGTTTTGTTCCCCGTAGTGGGTTGTGGGGTCAAAATATAGTGGTTGGGGGCGCTGGGTGCAGTGTTGGGGCGGGGGGCGACAGTGAGGTGGTGCGCCGGCGAGGTGGTGGTGGTGGGTGGGCGACAGCGTGGTGCAGCGCCGACGAGGTGCTATGGTGGGTGCAGGTGGTGGTGCAGGTGCTGCGCGGTGGTGCCGGGTAGGGTGGATGGGCTGTGGTGGTGGTTTGGAAAAGTGCCACGGCCAAGTTGGCCAAAAATGTGTGTTTGGGAACTTTTTTTTGGTGTGAGTGAGCAGCCTTGGCGGTTTTCCCATACAAAATCTTTTTTCGGAGCTCAGGTTTTGGACCGCGAGCCCGCGCACGCATGGTGTGGGGCCAAGTGGGGTCGGTGGGTATATGAAAGGGCGAACAAAGGCCGGGCGAAAGCACGGCTGGAGTGCACCTCTCCACTCAGTACAGTCCGCTGGAAAGGTGCTATGGTTAGTACTGGCTCACGCTGGGGACGCCTGTGAACCCGCCTAGTAGCCGCAAGGCGAAAAGCAACCGTCTCTTATCAGCATGGTAACTGTTGCGTGGTCTTTTTTACAGCGTTGTAGCTTCGGCTCCGTAACGATTGACTCATAGCAGCTACCGACCCCCCTAGCGCACTGCGTGCAGTGTAATTCTAGGATGCCAGACAGCTTTCTAGCGTGTTTATCGCCTGATCGCAGTCGGATGGGCTCTGTGGATGTGTGGCCGCTGGCTAGACTATTACCACTAGAGTGTCGGGAGATACCCACCCAATGGCCACCTAGTGGCCTGCGGGCTGAGGTCTCCTCTTGGGGCCTGTAAATCTCACCCTCCAGCGGCTTCGGCCTCTGTAGGTGTGCGGTGGACCAGTGCTCTGGGGAATGTAGAGGGGAAAAGCGGAAGGCGGTTCATGGCGCGAAGGGCTTCTGCCCGGACACGCTGTGCCGTCTCACTACTTCACTGTAGTGTAACGATCAGTAACTAATTCTTCCGCCTGCTTCGGCAGGTGGTTGGCCAACCCCGGCGCACGATAGTTACCTGGTTGATTCTGCCAGTAGTCATATGCTTGTCTCAAAGATTAAGCCATGCATGTCTAAGTATAAGCAATTATACAGCGAAACTGCGAATGGCTCATTACATCAGTTATCGTTTATTTGATAGTACCTTACTACTTGGATAACCGTGGTAATTCTAGAGCTAATACATGCTAAAAACCCCGACTCACGAAGGGGTGTATTCTCCAAGGCCTCCTGCCATCCAATGATTAGCTCGTGCCAGCATATGTAATGCCTGTCATCCACCGCTGCTCTCTTACCATCGCCAAAGGTCCTCCCAGGTAGGACCGCTCGTGCCACATGTGAACGCCTCTCGTCCCCATCGCTAGTGATCATGCCGCTCCACGCAAGGAATCAACGCTTCCACCGGAATCTCCTCGTCTGCCGACTCATCCTGTGCTTCCACCAGCCCCTCCGGCGCAACCATGACCTCGGCTCCCCTCGTAGTAGACTGTCGCCCTTTCCCCTCCCGGGATCGCACCGCCCCGCGTGCCTGGAAATACGCTCGTCGCCCCGCCGACTACAACGTTAGCCACTGCCGTGACCACTTCCTGACGGCCTCCGCCAACATCCGCCCCACGAGGTCGGATAGTCAAGGTAAGACCTACTCGAATCTTCGGCCCCTCCTTCCCAGTCGTGCTCCCTACGGAAGACATCGTTCCACAGCCTCGCCCTGCAACTAGCAAGTATCACTCCGTCACGTCAGCCTCCGTCCGACAACGACTACTATCTCGGCATCCTGCCATCTCACAGCGCTGCAACGCACCCCCGTGCACTGCATCCATCCAGGACGTTCACCTCCGGCAAACACATACCAACGTATCCTACCGCTCCCGCAACACCTCACTCCGTTCTTATCGCCCCGCTGCTGTTTTCCGCCGGAAAATGAAAAGAAGGAAGAAGAGAAATCCTTTGCTCTCTCCTGGGGAGGGCCTCAGCCCTCCCTTATGTAAATCCATGTGGGTCTCTGGTTTGCCCACCAGAGCCCTAAAAGGGTAACCAGACTGGGCCAGCAGGCCCAGTTCTGATTGGAAGGTAAGCGGGGGGTCAGGACCCACCCGCGTCAACGGTCAACGCCCATCTTACAAGTGAATCATACAGAGCTCGCACCAAATGCTCGCTAGATGGGCGTTCTGATTCGCTCAAATCGCGAAATATTCCCTGTCGTATCCACTTTGGTCAACGAACTTCGTTGACGACGACCCCTTGGCTCGCCGTCGCCTCGTCCGTCTGTTGGTCACGCGCCATGCCACCTTCGGCGTCAGCCACGCTCCCACACTCTGTGTTTGTTGTTGCATAGCCATGGTTTCTCTCTGTGAGTAGAAAATATGATTTCATCATCTCACTTCCGTGTATTAAGCAGCGTCGCTACGCTCGAGCTGCACAGGGCTGCCGCCCCGTACCCCGCGGATCCGGAACTCTAGCTCTCTTTTTAAGGAATTTATCGGTACCAGACCGAAAGCATGCTTGAAGGCACGCATCTTTGTGGGGTGAAGCCACAACTTGTGACTGTTAGTGCATCTCACGATGATTACTGGTGTTTCGCACACTACTTTCATTGCATCACTCCGCTCTTCTGGTTGTTCCACTACACATTTCATTTGATTGTTCATCTACTTGGTTGTTCCACGATGCACTTCGTCTACTATTCATCACTCATTTCATTTGCTCATTTGTTCATGTCACAGATCATTTCATTCACTGCAGTTCTACTTCCTAGTTGCACAGCCTCCTGCCCGAGTAAAGGACACCGTCCTGTCCTACAAGGATCATGGTAATACCGATGCATCGCACGATGTTCTCCGGCGCACAGCACCAGAGGAAGAAAGGAGGAAAGAAGGGAAAAGGCTTCGCCACCTCACCTACCTGGTCTGAACACACCTCTCCCTCTCCCGGGAAGAGAGAATAGCACCCAAGAGAAGAATCCTCCCTCATGACAACGCACCTCCACGGTACAACCCGTGCATCCACCCGGAAGAACCCTCTGCTAGGGATCTGGCTCCTCGTTCTCTTGTCCTCCTGCCCGCAAGTCGGAAGCACTGGGCTGTTTCGGCACACATGCCTTCAAGCAAGCCAAAGGCTGGCGAACATCTCCACGCCGCCTCTCACGGCAGCACCTTCGCGCTCCTGACTCTACTGCCGCTTGCCCCCGCTCGCGGCTCACAGACAGCCTGTCGGACTGACTTCCACTGCCGAACCAAGGTCGTTGCTCCAACCAGACGCCCATGTCCTCCTGCGACACACTCTCCACTAGAGCTCGTCCCTCGCCCGCCTGTGCTAGCGCACGCAACCACTGACGCACACTCTCACCCTGCCCACTCCGCTCGGGCAGAACAATAACAGTCAAAGACCACACATCTCCGCCCTCCTGGCCACAAGAGAAGAGACCATCCTGTTCCTTCCTGACGAACCACCGCGAGGCACAAGTGCCCAGCCGTCGGTACCACACACCGACATCTGCACTCCGTCCAAGGAGAGTAGTAACGATCCTCCAGTCCCCGTCCCGCTCTCGCACCTCTGTCTCCCCAGACAAGATAGAAGCCGCACTTACCCGTGCCCGCATCTCCAAGTAAAGGCTGCCCAGCCTTGTCAGGACTCGAATAGATCCCTCGTCCCCAACGATACCTGCCCTCCGGAAGGCAGCGTCCATCCTGGTTCCAAGGAAAGAGAAAAAAAAGAAAAGTGCACAACGATCCCCTGTTGTGGTACTCCGTCTGCCGCTCTGCTGTTTTCCTCCAAGAATGAAGGAAAGAAGGAAGAGAATGTCTGCACCCCATCCATCTCTTGGAAGGGCCCCAGCCCTTCCTTTAGTATCTTCGAAGGTGGTAGAAACTGACCCAGTTTCGTCCCAAATAGGTAACCAGACTGGGCCAGCAGGCCCAGTTCTGATTGGAAGGTAAGCGGGGGGTCAGGACCCACCCGCGTCAACGGTCAACGCCCATCTTACAAGTGAATCATACAGAGCTCGCACCAAATGCTCGCTAGATGGGCGTTCTGATTCGCTCAAATCGCGAAATATTCCCTGTCGTATCCACTTTGGTCAACGAACTTCGTTGACGACGACCCCTTGGCTCGCCGTCGCCTCGTCCGTCTGTTGGTCACGCGCCATGCCACCTTCGGCGTCAGCCACGCTCCCACACTCTGTGTTTGTTGTTGCATAGCCATGGTTTCTCTCTGTGAGTAGAAAATATGATTTCATCATCTCACTTCCGTGGTTATTCGCCACGTCGCTACGCTCGTGTGGCACAGGGCTGCCGCCCCGTACCCCGCGGTTCCGGAAAGGAAGTACCTCTTTTTAACATTACTAGCGGTAATCGTAGGGTAAAAGCATGCTTACACAGCACGCATGGTCCCGGGAGAAGCGAGGCACACTTGTTGGTGCCGTCGAAGGGGGTAGGAGCTTAGGGTTAGAAAAAAGGGAGCGCCCCAGCGCGACCCAGGGCCTCTAGAAAAGATACTTTGGTCACTCTGTTTGTTCCAAGTGCACTCATTCCATTCATTTGTTTATTCTACAAGTTCATTCATGTGGTTACTGTTTGGTTCAATCACGCTGTTCATTACATTACTCGCTGTACATTTCGCTTCGTGGTGTAGCAAGCCCAGCTAGTGGGACTCCGTCACCTGCCAAGGGTAAACATCCATCCAACCTGTATGAATTTCCTCCCATCCGTGCACGGATCCAGGATCACGGGGAAGGCGCAAAGCAACACTGCTATTTGCATACCTCGTAGGCGACACTCGACAAGTCGCTCGACATCCATCCCCACCCCTCACGGGAGGGTACGAACACTGGCCATCTGCAAGGCCACAATAACCGGACGGGCCCCGTCCATGCGCACCCACGCGTGCAGATCCCCCCAGAATCCAAGACAACTAGAAGATAAACCTCCTCGTTCTCCTCCTCCGGCGTCCCTTCGGTCCTGCTGCCACTCTCATCAGCATCAAAGTGAGGTCTCGCCCTGCCGAGACAAACCCCCTCGACACGACATGTCCACCGAGGCCGTGCACAACAAGCGCACGACAGACGCACAACAGCAGGAAGACACCACCGTCTCCTGCATACACATAGGGACGTGGGGACACCCCACAACAACATGACCGCTCCACGCGCACCGAAAGGTCCCCGCACAATACGAGTGACTCCGACGCAAGTTCGCCTCCTGCGACTCCTCCACCACATGGAGGGGATTGAAGCAAGCCGCCCGGCGGCAAAGATGAGAAGCTACCATGCCACGCAGCACATCCCGCCCATGCCAGGCCGTGAAGGCAACCCGATGCAGAAGCACGCTGATCTTACCCTCCGGTGTCGTCGCGCACGCACTCCCATAGCCGCCCCGCGTCAGGCTGCTCTTCGCCAGCCAGCAACCCGTCTCCGAAAAGTCGATCTCCTCCCGGACAAACATCCTTCCCAACACCCGTTGGCACACGCCCACTCCCGGGCTCTCGTGGTACAGTCGCACTCGCGACATCTCCTCCCCAGGAGAGAAAGAGCACACTATCCGTCCGTATGCCTCACCCGGCATCCCATCCTCCGGAAAGAAAGAAAAAAGACAACGCTCCCCTCTGTTGTCGACTCCGTGTCCCCGCTCCGCTGTTGTTTCTCTCCGAGGAAAAAGAAAGAAGAGAATTGCCAGTCCCTGTTCATCTCTAGAAGGGGCCGCAGCCCCTTCTCTTGTATCTTCGAAGGTGGGTACCAGTGTGCCCACTGGATACCCTTTTAGGTAGTCGGAACTGGGCCACCAGGCCCCGTTCCTATAGGTCAGCCAGTCGGGGTCCAAGGACCCACTCTGTCAACGGTCAACGCCCATCTTACAAGTGAATCATACAGAGCTCGCACCAAATGCTCGCTAGATGGGCGTTCTGATTCGTCCAAAGGCCAAATTATTCCCTGTCGTATCCACTTTGGTCAACGAACTTCGTTGACGACGACCCCTTGGCTCGCCGTCGCCTCGTCCGTCTGTTGGTCACGCGCCATGCCACCTTCGGCGTCAGCCACGCTCCCACACTCTGTGTTTGTTGTTGCATAGCCATGGTTTCTCTCTGTGAGTAGAAAATATGATTTCATCATTTTACTCTCGTAGTTATTCGCCACGTCGCTACGCTCGTGTGGCACAGGGCTGCCGCCCCGTACCCCGCGGTTCCGGAAAAGAAGTACCTCTTTTTAACATTACTAGCGGTAATCGTAGGGTAAAAGCATGCTTACACAGCACGCATGGTCCCGGGAGAAGCGAGGCACACTTGTTGGTGCCGTCGAAGGGGGTAGGAGCTTAGGGTTAGAAAAAAGGGAGCGCCCCAGCGCGACCCAGGGCCTCTAGAAAAGTCACTGACTCGGCATGCACTCATTTCATCTCGTTCATTTATTGTTCCAGTTCATTTGTTCATTTCATTCATTGTTTGTCTGGTTCCATCACTCTGTTCTTTTCACTCATGCTATCGCGTGATGCACTACACATGAAACTCGGCACAGCCCCCGCGTCACTCGTCTGCCACCTACACTGTTGGTAAAGACCCCGCCTGGTTCTTGGTGCACGCCATCTGCGCACCAGTAGTTGATCTGTGAAGCCAACGAAAGAGCAGCCCTGCTCCGGCCTCCACCTCAGTGGAATGAAGAATCTTGGCAACCATCCGTATGGTCATCAAAGCATAGGCCATGCTGGCCAGGTGCCACTGCCTCTGCGTGCAGTGTGCATCGAATAAGTGTCGCAGGTCCTCCAACCGGCCCACCGGGTCAGACGACGAGTGCCTCCAGCACCCAGGACAAGAGGAGCTACCGCCCCGCAGAACACCCGCGACGCGCTCACCCAGAAGATCCGCCTCCGTAACACCGCGCTGCTCCACCATCGTCATGGCCGAAAGAGTGTATGCCGCCGTGCACACAAGGAAGTCCCTGTACATAGCCTCTCGATCGAGGGGGATCGAGACACCGGGTCGACTATCCAAAGCCCACTCGTGGTCCCGCGCCCAGCGCAGAAGCGAAGTAGACAACAGCCGCTCCGCAGAAGAAGAAACGCACTCAGACCCTGGCTGAGCACATAACGCCGACACATGATCCAACATGGCCTGCAGCTCTCCGAGGACGCCCGAGCGGACAGCAGGATCCCCCTTCTCAACCTGTTCCAGACGGTCCCATACCCTCTGGGTTAGTCCAACGAAATGTCTCCCCACCTCCCGTGGCTCAGGGCTCGTCTCCTCCGCCCCTGCATCCTTCTCCCACACCATCTCCCTGGTTGTCCCTCCACGGTAGTGTTTCCCGTGGAGTAAAGGGGAAAAGAAGAGAGGAAGCCCCCAGGCTTCCGTCTGTCCTCACCAAGTCTGTCTGTTCATGCACCCCAAAGGTGCACAAACAAGGAAGGCAAACGCCTTCCTCTACCTCCTTCTCCGAAGAGAAACAAGACAATCTCCAATCCTTCCCACACATGGAGGAAGGGAAGTGCACACCCTCCGGTCGTGTGGCCAGTCCCTGCTGTCGCGCCGCGTGTTCCCCCGGGGAAAAAGGAAAGAAGAAATGAAATCCTCTGCATTCTTCCAGGAGGGCTCCCGCCCTCCCTTTGTACTTTCAAGGTTGGTCCAAACTGACCCAGTTTGTCCCGATTAGGTAACGGATTGTGGCCAGCAGGCCACATCCTCATAGGTCAGCCAGTCGTGGAGGCAGGCTCCACTCTGTCAACGGTCAACGCCCATCTTACAAGTGAATCATACAGAGCTCGCACCAAATGCTCGCTAGATGGGCGTTCTGATTCGCTCAAATCGCGAAATATTCCCTGTCGTATCCACTTTGGTCAACGAACTTCGTTGACGACGACCCCTTGGCTCGCCGTCGCCTCGTCCGTCTGTTGGTCACGCGCCATGCCACCTTCGGCGTCAGCCACGCTCCCAGCTTCCAGCGTTGTTGTTGCATAGCCATTATGTCTCTCTAGTAGTAGACAATATGATTTCATCATTTCACTTCCGTGTATTAAGCAGCGTCGCTACGCTCGAGCTGCACAGGGCTGCCGCCCCGTACCCCGCCGATCCGGAACTCTAGCCATCTTTTCTGACAGCATGCGGATTAAGTAATAAAAGCATGTTTTAGGACATGCATCTCGCACAGCTTATGTGAAGTCAGCCACACACAGTGTTTCTCTAATCTCACGATTCTTCTTGGTGGTTTCACCCACTTTACTTCATTTCATTTCATCTCAATCAATCACTCCATTCCTCTGATTGTTACACGCACTACTCTGCTCATCATCGCATCCTGCTGTTCATCTCATTTCATTTGGTTGTTTTCACAGCAACCCGGTTCATTTCTCTAGCTCTGCTACTGGTCATGTCGCATCACCACATGGTGCACACTCTACGTGACCCACCAGGACATTGTTGGATCCTCTGCCAGAGAGTCTCGACAAGACCGCGCACACGCTCGTCTCTACGCTTCCCCGCGTAGAAGGTCCCACGTATCATGCCCCTCAGGGCGAGAGAACGAAAGGTCAAGGTGCAGCAGTCCCCGCACCACAGGAAGACAAGGTGCATCACCTACCTAGCACTCGATGACGTCCCAAGACGGTCCTCCACCAGAGCCAGGACGAAGGCCGCCTTCTTCTCCACCTCCGGACATCCCAGCCACTGCCCGATCTCGGACAGCGTCAGTACAAGGAAATACAGACTAGCCTGCAACCACTGCTCCCGAGTACAGTGGTCATCAAAGAAGCGAAACGCACCAGATGGCCCTGCCAGAAGATCGTCCTTCCCAGGAGCGAGCAAAGGCGCCGAACACTCGCCGCAACCTACCATCACGCGAAGAGTCGCCCCCTCCTGCGCTACCCAAGACGCCCAGCGCCGAGAGGATTCTTCCAGACCCGTCATACGCCAGTAGGCAATGCATGCCATCATCGTCACGACGCCATTCCCATGCGTCCTCCTCCTCTGCTTCTCCACCAGCGGGCGCTCCCGCCCATCCAGCAGCACACCTCGTCGAGCCCCCCAACGACGAAGGTCTCCCGACAGCAACCGCTCCAGGTGCACCAACGCCAACTGCTTCGATGCCAGCCACAAGCTGGCCTTGTCCAGCATCGTCATCAACTCCTGCTGCGCACTGTCATCCTTTGTCTGGCGACTCAAGTCGCCTAGACGTACCAAGTCAGCCACCACCGACTTGCTCACGCACAAGAAGTAACCGTCCCGTTCTACGGAAGACGCCTCGCTGCCCGCGAACAACCAGCTCTCTCCCATCGCAGTCAGTATACCGCCCCAGGCGAATCAGCTCGCTCCCTCTCCGCCGCTACTCCGTCTCCCCAGGAAGAAAGAAAGAAAAAAGACAACCCTCCCGCTGTTGTGCACTCCGTGTCCCCGCGCTGCTCTGTTTCTCTCCGAGGAAAAAAGAAGAGAAGAAATGTCCTGCCAGTTCATTCTTCGAGGAGGGCTCCCGCCCTCCCTTTGTACTTTCAAGGTTGGTCCAAAGTGGCCCACTTTGTCCCTTTTAGGTAACGGATTGTGGCCAGCAGGCCACATCCTCATAGGTCAAACAGGTAGGTCCGAAGGACCCACTCTGTCAACGGTCAACGCCCATCTTACAAGTGAATCATACAGAGCGCCCATACAAATGGTCGCGAAGATGGGCTGTGATTCGTCCAATCGACGAAATATTCCCTGTCGTATCCACTTTGGTCAACGAACTTCGTTGACGACGACCCCTTGGCTCGCCGTCGCCTCGTCCGTCTGTTGGTCACGCGCCATGCCACCTTCGGCGTCAGCCACGCTCCCACACTCTGTGTTTGTTGTTGCATATCCATGGTTTCTCTTTGCAGTAGAAAATATGATTTCATCATTTTACTCTCGTAGTTATTCGCCACGTCGCTACGCTCGTGTGGCACAGGGCTGCCGCCCCGTACCCCGCCGATCCGGAATCTTAGCTCTCTTTTCCGACAGCATGTGGTACCAGACTATCAGCAGTCTTTAGCTGCACGCATCTTGTTGGGGCAAACGAAGCCCCTCACTGTTAGTGTTTTACAGATCTCACGATCCTTTTTGGTGTTTTCCACCACACATGTTCTCACACATTCAATCACTCTGTTCATTTGCTAGTTCTACTGGTTCGCTCGGCTCATCTGTTATCTGTTCATCGCACTGCTGCTCTAGATGCAATTCTCGACTACCGGTTCGTCCCTCCACTACTGCATTCCAAGCGGAAGAGGCTACCTCCATGTACGTGACACGCCATCCTTGCCGAACCTGCGGGAACTAGCACGCTCCCTCTCCGGCCTCCTGCACAGAACTGCGCCCAAGCGCAGACACGCCAACATACCCGTCCCGGATGACAAAACCACTCTGGTCCAACAAATCGACCAGCTGCATCACCGAGATACGCATCTCGTTCCAAAAAGCCATCAGCACACTGCTCTCCAGTCGCGCAGCAATCGTCCCCACGACAATAACTGTCATCACCAGGCTCGCCACGACCCACTGCTCTATCGTCGCATGCCTGTCCAACAGGTGGAAGAGGTCAGACGCCCTCACCGGGCCATCCACTGCACACAACTGCGCAGCCGAAAGCTGACACCCACTCCGTCCTGTGAGCTGCCGCACCCGAATCTCCTGCACCTCCGTCAGCTCGCGACTACCAGGCGCCGCCACCAACGCGGCATAATAGCCCGCGATCTCGTGAACCTCCCGGAAGGTAAACGCCGTCTCTCTTCTCCGCACAGACAATCCCGTACGAGTGCCCTCCAACGGTACCCCATAGCTACGGCACCACGACCGCACTATGGTACTGAGCTGTGCCTCCGACACATCAGGGTAGCGGGCAGAGCCCACGAGGAATCCCATCACCTTCTGCAGAAGAACAGCCAGCTCCGCACCGGCCTTCCTTGCCGTGTCCCGCTCAGAGAGCAAGGGCGCAGCCACCCTCGGCAGCGACAGCAAATACACATCTCGCTCCACCCGTCCCAGGTGTCCGACAGAGTCCCTCCGGTTCACAAACCATCCACCATGTGCCACATCAGAAATCGGCAACTCCTTGCACAGAGGGCTCCCCCTCCGGCTCCACTCCGCCAACCAGTCCTCGTGCACCAGCTTCTCCGCCGCATCTACCGCACTAAGGCGGAAAGGAAACGCCACCGGCGATGACGAGCCCCCCGGGCTCTGTGCTACACGAAACGTACTCGTCATACTCGCCCACAGCTTCTCCGTCCTGCCCGGCCGCATCTCGTCCCGATCGTCGCTCCGCTATCGTTTCCCCCGGGGAAATGAAGAGGAAGAAAGAGAGATCCTCTGCTCCTTCTGGGAAGGGTGCACACCCTTCCTTTGTACTTTCCATGTGGGAGAAAGTGTGCCCACTTTCATCCCTTTTCGGTAACGGAACTGGGCCACCAGGCCCCGTTCCTATAGGTCAGCCAGTCGGGGTCCAAGGACCCACTCTGTCAACGGTCAACGCCCATCTTACAAGTGAATCATACAGAGCTCGCACCAAATGCTCGCTAGATGGGCGTTCTGATTCGTCCAAAGGCCAAATTATTCCCTGTCGTATCCACTTTGGTCAACGAACTTCGTTGACGACGACCCCTTGGCTCGCCGTCGCCTCGTCCGTCTGTTGGTCACGCGCCATGCCACCTTCGGCGTCAGCCACGCTCCCACACTCTGTGTTTGTTGTTGCATAGCCATGGTTTCTCTCTGTGAGTAGAAAATATGATTTCATCATTCACTCTCGTGTATTAAGCAGCGTCGCTACGCTCGAGCTGCACAGGGCTGCCGCCCCGTACCCCGCGGATCCGGAACTCTAGCCATCTTTTCCGACAGCATGCGGATTAAGTAGTGTAAGCATGTCTTAGCGACACGCATCTTCTAGTTTGAGGCCACACTTTCTCAGTGTTACTGCATCTCACGATTACTTTTGGTGTTCTCCACCACACATTCATTTCATTGCATCACTTCGTTCCATTCCTGGTTCTACTGATGACTTCATCCAATCGTCCCGATACTCCTGCTTCGCATAGCACGACTAACAGTCCTGCTCTACTCTCTCTTCATACTATTCCGCTACCCTGCAGCCACTAAGAGGATCCATCCACCATAGAGAATCCCTCTCACGCTGCGCACCAGACCTCGCTGAGGCGAAAGACACTCGTGACCCGACAAGGCAATGCACCGCGCACGCGCACATGCGACGACGCAGCAGAAGACCCCTTCCATCCTCGACGAGAGGTCAGCCTCTTGATGCCGTCCCGCCCAGAACAGCTACTCCGCCCTGTGGTACAATAGCCGAGTCAAGCTCGTCACAGCGTTCGCATACTGCTCACCAGGGTAGGCGCGCCAGAAGGTAAACTGCACCGCAAGGGAGTCGGCACCCGACACCGCCACCGCAGGCCTCGCGCTAATGATCCAAACACCGTCATCCTCGACAGAGCGTGCACGATGAACCTGCATGTCCATCGTCCAAACCTGAACAAAAGATGCGTCCCGCACATCCCCGAGACAATATCGCTGCTGCTGGATGAAATTATCCATGTCCACCCGGTGGATACCATCCGTCT